GGGGCCGCGGGCAGGCTGCTGCCGAGGCGGCACATAAACCTCACACCGGCGAGGAAACTGCTTGGCCGCAAGTCATAAAGCAAACAAATAAAAAAAAAAATTCTATATAAGATGTGGGGTTTCGTCAAATTGCTAGGACATTCACCTAATTAAAGTGCCTGCGTGCGCCTGACAAGCAAAGACAGAAAAACGCTAAAATTTAATTAATAGAAAAATGAGGGGGAAACCCCAAGACTAGGGGGGAAAGTAAATCTTTTGCTGATTATCAGATAAAACCAAGTGAACAAATAATAACTCTGGAGACATATAACAAACTCATCAGCATTAAACAGTAAAGACAGTAAACAGCAGATTTTGGTCAAGAAAAACAGGAATATCACTTAAAATGTCATCACAAGTGACAGACAATTTATAATATCCTGTAGCTTTAAACCTCAGTAGGTTACATCTCAGAAACTAAAATAACCCCACACTTTTAAAGCAGATAAAGACCGTTATGGCAATTAAATGCTCCACCAGCAGCCAAGCAGCGAGGTAGGTAGAGGGTATGTAACAACCAAGCTCAGCAATACTGTGTTGAGGGGTGGTTAAATTAAATATCTACTTTTATTTGTCACAGTCTCCACTTCTAGTCTTCATTTATTACTTGTCTTTTTTTTCCCCACAGGAATATCTTTATATACTCTGTTTAAAAAGAAAAAAAAAGAAGAAATTATTGCCAATTGATCTGGCCCCAGACTAAAACTGCCAGAAATACTGATGTGATGCTATCGCCCTTTCCAAGCTGGCCTGGCTGCAGGAGCCCATGAGAAAGGCTGAGTCCTCTGGCAGAAGTTTAATTTCAGTGGAGTCATTAACAACAACAGCAACAACAACAGCAGAGCCCCCTGACGTGATGCGCTCGCTCCTCTGCCGTCTCCCAGCGCTGCTCCGTGCCCACGAGCGCTGGCCTGACGTGGCTCTGTGTGCTCCCAGCCTGCCTAAAACCGGGGGCAGAGGGCGCCTGCTGTAAGGTGGGGTTTTCTTCCAGACACTTTGCATCTGGCGAGACAGGCTTCCCTCCGAGCTGCCATCCAGCTCGTCGTTCACTCCCCTGGATACTGAAAAACCCCGTGCGAAAGATCCAAGCAAAGCTGGGCTCCTGCGCTGGCAGCACGTCTCCGGAGACAGCGCAGGAGCCACCGACCGCAGCCCTCCCCGACACCAATGCGTGACAGGCGTCCTCGAGTCCTGCCTCCCTATCATGTACAGAGTGTAAAACCAAACTAAAGGTTTGTAACAATTCGAATTATTCCACCCTAATTCACAGCCTCTGCTTCCTCGCAGCAGCCTCTGAGTTTAAGGACACTGCTTAACCCTTGCTGAGCGGGTTCTAGCCCTTGCTGGCCATCCTCGCCATCCCTCCAGGTGCATTAAGTACCCTTCTGCACATCATTAGGTACTTTTATGTGCGTTATTAGGTACCATACAGCAGGTGGGCTGGCTGGGCCAGGAGGTTGTTTTCTGTTGGGCACGGCTGCCGGTGCTGCGGGCACTGTGGGGCAGACAGCCCCCGCACCCCCCGCCGTCCCCTGGGGGCAGGGGCCCTTCCCAGGCAGCACCCCGGGGCCGATGCCTGAGCGTGCCGCGGGGTTATCACGGCTCTCTCTGCCGCCACTGTGCCCCAGGCACTCATGCTGTGCTGCTCAGCACTGCAAGTGGAAAAGAAAAGAGACGATTTTTGCTGCAAAAAGCTGCCAATCTCAGCGGCTGAAATAAAACCTGGAGTCAGGAGATGAAGAGCAGCCCAAACAGCAAAACAACGAAAAGCCTGATTAGTTGAAACAAGTTGCACGGGAGACCAACCTCACCACAGGTCCGAGCGGAAGCCCCTTGGCCAACCCCCCCATGTCCCTTCGGTGGCTTCAGGCCCACCCCGAGCATCCTTCACCTGCCGGGGCCGGACCACTGGCCGGCCATAAGGACCATCTCACGGGCACCCTCCACCACGGGCGCCCTCCACCCCGCTGTTTACATACTTTAAACCTCCGACGAAAGCGGAATTCCATTCATGAGCATTTATCACTACGGGGATACTCGTCAGGACTCGTTCGATGTTTCCCCACGCGCCCTGGACTAACCTTCCGAAAGAAACACAACTCTTACGTTCTCCTTCCTGATGGAGGGCTTATTTCTGCGCCTCATCTGCGGCTGCTATTAGCCAACCGATCCGTCAGCGCTTGCAGTGATCTAGCCTGGTTCACAATGAAGGAGTCGTTCCCATTTTTCACCTGGAAAACACAGCTAGGTGCTTCCCAGGCAGAACACCGTGGGAATGGGTAAGGGATGTGCCGCCCCTGCGCAGTTTGCTGACGCTTCGGCTTTGTCTCCGAAGACAGCGTGTCTGCAACTGCCTATTCTTTATGTGGCATTAGAGAGCGAGGCATCGGTACTGCCAGAATCCCTAACCCTGTCACTCACCAGCCCCATGTAAACCAGAGGCTCTATCAGCCTGATTATGTCTGCATGTAAAGATTTGGAAATACATAAATTAAGATTTTACTCTAAGCAGAGGTGGCTTACAATGCTTTCTTTAGGATCAGATAGACCTCGCCGTAGCTAAACATTACAGCGTCTGCTGATTTCTTAATCCACTCTCAACATGAGCATTGCTCAGTTGTTAAGCCTGGTGTGAAAGAAGCCTTTCATGGTTGAAAAATCCCCCAAGAGGAAAATCTACAGCCCACATTTTCAGGCCGCGGTGCGCGAGCTGGGCACAGGCTTACCTGCAGCAAGCCCTGCTCAACCAGAGCGCTCTGCAGGCAGATTCCAGTGCTCCGTGCTTAATTTCTTCGTATTTAAAATCTGCATGTTTTTATGTATCTGCACTGGAAAATGCCTCCCATGCCTCTGACTGTAACTGGTAATTTAGTGCAACAGGTAACCGGGCAGTGGAAGCAGCAGGAGCGAGGTTTCTGGGACTGAAGAGGAGCAGTTGGTGGCTGGGTTTTCCGGGCTGGGTGTCAGAACGCGAGGTCTTCCAGCGCCGCCCGTGAAGCATCGCCTCCCACCAGCACAGTAAATAATCTGCAGTCTAATTCTGTGCATTGCAGGAAGGGCTTCAGCTCCACGGCTATTAATGAAGCTGTTTAACTTACATATTTTAAGCCTCAAATGTACCTACCCTTCTCTTTACGAACTCTGTGGGGCTGCTTGCCCCCGACGTTAAGCAGCTATCGCAGCACAGGGAGTCAGGGCATGGATTCTTTTATCAACGAATTCATCGAAACCGCGCGAAATTTCTGCCTGCCTGCTTCCCAGCTGAGACCCCGGGTGCCCAGGAGCCGGGCACCGAGGAGCTGTGCCCCACGCCGTCTTTGTCCATCACTCCTGGGCCCCCCCACACCACGCGGGGCGGCTGCAGACAGGGACAGAGCCCGGAAGGCCCCCAGCCGCGGCTGCCACCGTGAGCCCGTAAAACCCACCACGTCCTTCTTATGAGACCCCCAAAACACCACGCACACCCCGGCCTGACCCCAGGATCCGCTCCCCACGCTCGACATTAACCGATAGGAACAAGAGCTCCGTGCTTTTTTCCCCACTAAATAAATGTTTGCCGAAAAAACGGTTAATCCAGAAAAGGAACATTTAGCACAAAGATATTTTTCCACGCACCCCTCCCTGGCCTCCTCGCCCCTCCTGACCCCAACAGCAAGCGGTTCCTGCCCGAGCCCTGCACATCGGAGCAAAGCTATGGGCAGGGGTCTCTGCGGGATTTTGGGATGCCGGGAGGAGCTGGAGCCCGGGATGGTGGGAGCCAGGTAGGGAGCCCGGTGCCGTACACCTGCGGGCACCCGCAGCGGCCGAGGGTGCCGGGGAGGGCGAGCCGGCCCAGCCGCCCGCCCGCTAA